GTAGGAGAAAGGAATCCGTCGTCGAGACTATATGTGACATTAGTACACCGCTCCTGAAGGGTCTCGGCAAACCCCTTTGGCTCAGCATCAGCCCCCAAGCCGTTGATCTCTTGGCTGTCCTGCAGGTGCTTATCGGTAGGACTCGTCGCGACTATGATAATACTCCATCGCTCCTGAAGGGTCCCGGCAGCCTCCACCATGTCATCGATCTTCTTGCGGTCCTGCGGGTCGTGCTTGCCGGTATGTAGGAGTCCAGAACTAGTTATTGTTACTTCAGGGTAGTACATGAATGATACTCAGTGATTTCGATATTTGTTCGGATCAGCGCGGCTCACTACACTACCTACACTACATTGCTTCGGCAGCTGGACTGGATTTCTCTGGGTGTCCTCCAGCGGCGTAGCCTTCAAGTGATCGCCGAGCCGCAATGTTGTTGCGTCGGACCTCATTTTGCTAGAATGTTGCCTGAATGGCATCCACTGCAAAAAACAAATTAAGGCACAACATGAAGTCAAGCACATGGCTGTTTGAAGAACAGTGAATATGCATGTCTGTTGTTGCCGGCATGCTTGGCAGTCTCATCATCGCTGATCATCATTTCCTGCTCCTGGGCGAAGACAGTTTACACTCATTATTAAGTTACATCAAGCTTCTCATGCTAGTTCTCATTGCAAAATGTCTAACACTCCTGCAGGGTCTCCGGAAGCTCCGCTGCATCTGCCAACGAGCGCTTCATCTCCTGCAGCTGCTTGCCGGCATGACTGAGAGACTTCTACAGATCAGTATGGGAGATATTATGATCCACCGAATGTCATCTACAACTCTCATCCAGCATCGTCTTCATGTTCAGCACGACATAAGTGTACTCTGGCAGATGACCTATGCCTTGTCACTCGATCTACATCCAAACTAGGGGACAGTGAAGCAGACTCCCGGGGCACTGTTGTCAATCTGCATGGCAACCTACAAGCTATGCAAGGTAAATTACAGCGAATGCAGAAACCCAACACACCCTACGGTTACACAGAATTGAAGCTTAGGACAGACGTCCTCTTTCGCGGCTTCATTCTTCATCAATCTGCACTCCGGCTTCTGCTGGTCGACATTCGGATCCTCGGGAGGTTTTGGGATTCAGGGACGGATCCATATGCCATAATAGCCCAATGCCAACCAAGAGTACAAAGCCCAAGTTCGAAATCTAATATAAACAAGACATGAACCCCGAAAGGCAAGGTAAGCCCTCAGCCCTGAATCTTATAATGCTTGTGATATGACTTTTTCCCAGGAAACCCATGCTGACAGTGCACAGCATAGTGACTGCGAAAAGCCTCCTCTCTCTGTCTCGCTCGAACATGCGTTTGGGTGTGTAGATAGATGTTGTTCTGGGAAATGCAGGAAGCTACAATCGGTGAATTTGGTTTTCTATCCTATCTGGTTCTGAGAACTACAAGGCTATTCTCGGATATATGGGCCTGAGAAACTACAGAACAGGTTACAGCGATCCTCCGATGTATGGGGCCGAAACTACAGGACGTTACAACCATCCTCGGATATATGAGTCTGAGAAACTCCAGGAGGTTAGCGCTATCCTCTGAAATATATCCACCTGAGAAACTACAGGAAGGTGCAGCTATCCTGGGGTATATGGGTCTGGGAAACTACAGGAGGTTACAAACCATCCTCGGATATACAAGTCTGAGAAACTCCAGGAGGTTAGCGCTATCCTCTGAAGTATCCGTCTGAGAAACTACAGGAGGGTGCAGCTATCCTCGGACATATGGGTCTGAGAAATTAGAGGAGGTTAGAGCAATCCTCGGAAATATGGGCTTGTGGCACCTACATGAGGTTGCAGCTACTCTCGGATATGTGGGTCTCGGAAAGTACAGACAGGAGGTTAGAGCTCTGCTCGAGTATATGGGTCTGAGAAGTACAGAATCAGAAGTCCCAGCCATCCTCGGACATGTGGGTGGGAGAAACTATATATAGGAAATAATAACCATCCTCGGATATATGAGTCTGAGAATCTCCAGGAGGTTAGCGCTATCCTCTGAAGTATCCGTCTGAGAAACTGCAGGAGGGTTCAGCTATCCCCAGATACATGGGTCTGAGAAACTACAGGAGCTTAGAGCTATCCTCGGAAGTATGGGTTTGGGACAGTACATGAGGTTGCAGCTACTCTCGGATATGCGGGTCTGGGAAGGTACAGAGGAGGTTAGAGCTCTGCTCGAGTATATGGGTCTGAGAAACTACAGAAGTTACAGCCATCCTCGGACATGTCGGTCTGAGAAACTACAGGAAATTACAAGCATCCTCGGATATATGAGTCTGAGAAACTCCAGGAGGTTAGCGCTATTCTCTGATGTATCCGTCTGATACATTACAGGAGGGTGCAGCTATCCTCGGATATATGGGTCTGAGAAACTACAGGAGGTTAAAACTATCGTCGGATAGATGGGTCTGAGAAGCTACAGGAGGTTGTATCTATCCGCGGATATCTGGGTCTGAGAAACTACAGGACGGTAGCGGTTTCCTTTGATATATGGGTCTGAGAATTCATAGGAGAGTGCAGCTATCCACGGATATCTAGGTCTGAGAAACTACAGGAGGGTGCAGCTATCCTAGGATACATGGGTCTGAGAACTACAAGACAGGTTACAGTTGTCGTCTGTATTGAGGGCCTTAGAAACTCCAGGAGGTTAGCGCTATCCTCGAATGTATGGGTCTGAGAACTACACGACAGGTAACGGCTGTCTTCGGGTTTATGGGTCTGAGAATGCAGAAGGTTACTTGGAGGGTCGGGGGACTTAGTAAGTAGGTAGTAAATAGACGTACAAGTACCCTAAAAGGGACCCTAATCGGGGTTATGGTACTTATAAGTCCCTAAAATAACCAGTTACTAAGTCCCCCGACCCTCCAAGTACAGGTTTTCGGTGGATATTTGGGTCTGAGAAACTACAGGACAGCTATCCTGAGATACACGGGTCTGAGAACTACAGGAGGTTAGCGCTATCCTTTGATGTGTCCGTCTGAGAAACTACTAGGAAGATCCTCGGATATATGGGTCTGAGAAATACATGAGGTTACATCTATCGCCGGGTCTGTTCGGGGTATAAGTCTACTTTCGATCAGAGACTGTAGGGGAATTAGAACCCATATATGATTTGCTTCAAAGCATCCCCTGAGGCCGGCTTCTATCACTACATGCTGGGTGGCTGGAGCAACATCATGAAATTCCACACGCCCTCGAAGCAGATGCTGCCAGGCATACAGAAGCATACATGCACAGAGTTCATGTCGGGACGCGCTTGCTTTCAAATAACTCAGGAAACAGTTCACAATGGTTTGGGTTCAGACCCTAGTCTTTCTGAGTACAAATTCAAACCCATGGTGAAGCCCGAGAGGCAGAGCCAGCCGCTTGTGCGCCGCTGTGCTCAGGCACCTGGGCTGTTGCTGCATTGTGGGTTGGCGAAGTAATTAGTTGATTAGTTTGCAAGGTTTTCACCATGATGGCATTCAGCTAGCAGCTATATGTGATTAATTACATCGAAACCAATGTAGATCAAGTTCGGCTTTCCGCAAGCATGTGTGTGAACACATGAGTTGATCTGTGTCTGTCCTACAAAATCACGGAGTGCGAACTCGGACTGAATCTGACTCCCACACGGTTCGAGCAAGTGGCAGGCGTCGCCGCTGCAGCCACATCCAGATCGAGATCGGCGGCACCTTCTGACTCCTGGGCTTGCGGCTGACGTGTTACATGGATGTTCGGGGTCAGGGCATTTAGGGCTTTGGGAATAATAATTATTTGTGTTTGGGCTGGGGTGACTAAATTAAAATCAGGGCTAAGGCTTTTCGGGGTTAGGGCATTCAGGGCTTTGGGAATAATAGTTATTTGTGGCTGGGGCGACTAGATTGGAGTCGGGGCTAAGGCTAGGCTTAGGGTTAGGCTTCAAAAGGTTAAGGGCTTCGAAGGCGTCTGAAGCCATAAGGATGTAAATAGGGGCTTAAAGGGACGATTAGTATTCAAACTACGGGTTTAGGGAATTTCGGGCTTTATGGGTTTAAAGATGCAAGGTTCATGGGTTCCGAGATCTGGGGTTTAAGTATTGTGGTATATACCTTGCATACCCAATTCTCTAGAGAGTGGAACATGGTAGTACGATGATGGCTCAGTTGAGGTCTTATTATGATCCATAAGTTTTTTGGTTAAGGTTTCCTAGTTTTCCTACCCGTCCCACTTAAACCTTAAACCCCCAGCAGTGGGACTTCGAAGCCGTGCCTGCGTCAGCGAGTGTGCGTGTCGAAACCCCCAGGATAGAACCCTGAACCTTTGAAGCCCTATATGCCCTAACCCCTAGAACCCTGAATCCTGAACCCTCAACCCCTATTTCAAAGCCTTACTAACCCTTAGAAACTTGAACCCAAGACAGCCAAAAAACCCTACAGCTCTAACACCCCCCTAACTTTCCTGGACTGATCCCAAGCCGAGGCATTGCCTGTAATGAAGTACCCCGTTGCCGAGATGCACTCGTCCCCGTGCCGCCAGAGGAAGAGGAGCCGTCCTGATGTGGGAAGCAGTTGTACAAGGTTGTTACAGGGTCGCTTCGGTCAGCCCCAAGGCATACAGAAGAGTCCTCGCTTTCGGAACACGGCACAGCAGCAGCCGATCCAGCAGCAAACATCCGCTCCGCATCCTAGCCCACGACAACAGGTTGCAACAGGACTAAGCATTCAACTTCTGAGGTTCTCATGATTCTCGCATCGGAGGTGAACAATCGGTCCTGGGCTTTCGCTAGCATCGTCTCGAGGAAGTTGCAGCTCGTTGTGGCATGTCGCTTGCCCTTCTTCTTCTTCGAGCCGCTCTTCTTCTTGTCATCTTTCTTCTTCGAAGACTTGCGCTGGGACCCCTTTGACTGAGTCTTTTTGCCCCGTCCTCGGCCTCGGCCTCTCTTGGGTGCCTGCACTACGGTCTGTTTAATGTTGATCTACTGGGATGTAAACTACAGAATGCATAACATCATGGGCGCCTCATCGTCATCGGATTCTGCATCGTCGTCATCGTCACGCTTGCTTCTTTTCTTGTCTGGCTCGTCACTCTCACTGTTCTTCTTCTTCTTGCTTTTCTTCGACTTGTTTTTTTTGTTTCTCCCGCCTTTCGAGGCAGGTTTTTTTTTGGGTGAACCTTCCTCTTCTTCTTCCTCTTCATCCTCCTCTAGGTCCAGCTCCTCGGCTGACCCCAGATCCTCATCCTCGCTGTCTTTCACCTCGAACCTATCGAGCTTCCGAAGGGCAGTGGATTCTGCCTTGGGTTTTGATTCCCCTTGCTTGGCTGCAGCACTCATCGACTGCAAGTCGGTCTCATAGGCTTCCAGGTTAAAGGGAGGCGAATTGAAGGAAGGAGAGGTGTCAGTGCTGGCCACATCCATCTTCGGAAAACCAAGGGGCTAGGCAGCTGCAGGTAGCAGCACTATCCTGAAACCCAAAAAGCTCCGTGAAAACTCAACATGCAGACGGGATGGTTGCATCAATGGTGCACAGGACACATCTCAATGTCTTAGCGCAGCTGACAAGGTGCCTCGGCTTGGCTTGGTCAGTGTTTTGTCGCGACAAGCGGTGTGCGCAATGACTGTCTTGATGCACTGAAAGCTTGCGCAGCAAAAGTTTTGTCAAGCTCTAAGCATCTTGTGCTATGCATTGCATCCTACAGTCCGTTTTGACCTGGGTCACTATTATACCTGCTAACATTGGCTCCCAGCAGCACGCGAACGCCAAGAGCAAGACAAAGGGACCAGGACTCCTCTAAGTTAAGCCGCTTCACCCAACGATGGGCCCTGGCTTTGTTCCTACTTGTGTAGCCCCTGATCAAGACTCGTGCAGGCAGACAAGTGAAAGAATGGTTTCACGGTCGAACACAGGATGCTGTAAGATACCACAAACCCCTAAATTTTGAATCAGATAATAGTCCTTCAGAACATATAGTCGACTTGTAGGAATGCTAGCTGCCAGCAACAATGATATGACCCCGATAACTCACAAACCATTCCTCCCCTGCCACACTAAGCCTGCTGGAGTCTTGAGCCCCTAGACCGAGCATCCCAGGTTATCCCGATGGCGTGCCGATCCTGCAGGCTCGTGCGAGCCCAGAAAGCTCAGAGAGCTCGGAAAACTCCTGGCTGGACAGCCAGCTCAGTCATGTGGATCAAGACAGGCCGCACAGGAGTGATCTGCCGGTTGTTGTTCAACCTGGCAGGGTGCACAGCTTCACGAAACTTAAATCGGAGTTATCAACGGCAGTCAGAAAGTTAAAGGTCCCAGTGGTAGGCCTCACGCGCCAGGTCAGCTTGAAAGGATTACGAACAGAGCGAAGCTTCGCAGCATCCATGTGTGCACCGAAAATCAAAGGTCTCACCTGCCACAAGAGATGAACAATTGATGCTGTGGGGGCTTTAAGCCGAAAGTGTTACTATTGGCTTCGGCCGACGAAACATAGCGAATTCAGCTAGGAAGTGTCGGAGGGGAGGGAGGTTTTCTTCGGCAACACAACTGCTATCATCGGTGAACAGCGGTGAACAGCGCGCTTGAAATTGAAAAGACCGTTTCTAACACCCCAGCAGTGCCTTCGAGACTCGTCTTTTCTTGGCCGGGCTGGACTTCGTGTCATCCATGATGAAAACGATGTTCTCATCGACCTTGAGCTGATCATTCTCCTTCGTGTGCCCCATAAATGAAACGATCTCGCCTTTGTCCTCCATGGTCACTAGGAACTCCTTCAAGCTCACGGCCTGCTTTATAAAGTTTACGAACTTATTATTTGGGACTCGAATCACAAGATTCCTACTCGTTCCTACTTGCAGCACTGCCTTTACTCTCAAAACCAGACAGCCTGGTTCCAAATGGGGAGCGACTTGAGTTCCTCTGGAAGCTTTCTGTCGCTTTCAAAGATCACGATCACATCAGACATGGGTCCAGCCAAGGAGTAGCGATACCAACGGCCATTTGCATCCGAAAGGACGTCCTTTGCCGTAGGCCCATCGACGAAATTGCCTGAGCCAAAGCCAAGCCACTCCGTCTTTGCGGCGATGCCACAGATCCGGTCAGACCCCACCCACAATGAGTTGTCATCCGAGTCGTAGTAAAGGCTGACGTCACCACACGTGGTCTCGAGGAGCCTGATGTGTTCAATCCCAAACACTCAAACACACCGAATGACTTTAATTACACCCGAGCACATCGAATACCCACAGACCGTCCACTGCAAATCTATCAAGAAGCCGCTTGTGGTCCTCACGGAAAGCGGTCATGTCATCGTAAGCCTTTTCGAGCTTCCTGGGCGTGTTGGCCTCGCGCTTCTTTCGAACGTTCTCCAGCTCAGACCGGGCATCTGCCAGGGTGGCCTTCTTGCGCTGCTTGTTGAACTCCTCGTCGTGCTTTTTCAAGACGCCCGAAAACTCACCCGCAAAGGCCGAGTTCTCGAACTTGGACATCAAAGCCTCAAGCACGATCAGGTCACCACCCACAGGCATGGTCACGAGGTACTCGTAGTCCGGCCGTGAGCTGTCCGTGTGCACTTTGCCCAAGTCGGCCAAGGCCGCGGTGAAATCGGGGAAGCCTGCAATGTTCAGCTGCTTCGTCTTGGCCCGGCCAAAGAAGTCATGAAGGAGCACCTCCTGTCCAAATCTTACAGACTCTAGATGAACTGTCCAATCCGGGATGATACCTCAACCACTAAAAACTAAAACTGGTTCAACCCCTTCCTTGGTGAACTTGTACTCGATCTCGGAGTGAGCCACAGACCCGCATGCAATAGAATGGTTTTCCATGTGCAGCTGCAAACATGCAAGTGGAACCCATCCATCGTGCGCGAACAAGTCGACCACCACAGTCTTGCTTTTGGCAACCTCCAGGCTCGCCAAAATCTTCTTGATCACCCCCGTTCCACCAAGGTGCTGGCGGAGCTCCTCATGTCTGGTATCTACAAACACATCACTGCCATCTCTACAAACACATCACTGCCATCATCTCTGAGTCTGTCATTGCAAGTCACACGAAAGACACGGGGACAGACGGACTGCAGCCAAGTCCTGCGTGCGGGACAAGCGGTCCGTGTCTGCAGAAATCTTGCGGCCCACCTCCACTTTCAGCATGTCCTCAGAACACCGACTCATGACACCAAGTTTAAATCAGTCCACACCGGCACATGGGTACAAAATGCAGGCAAACAACACTGCGCGGCAACATCGGAATCTTGTCCACGATGAGACGCTTGAACAAGCTCTTGCGGGGCATGGCAGTCGAAGATGAACTCGTGATCAGCCACGCCTCGTGGAACGCAGCTCTTTGCCCGTAGACGCTCGCCTCATCGAAGATGAGTGTCAAGCTTCGCACCGACAGCTGCCTTGCCGGCTCCTGCAACAAGACCTGCAGCTGGTACTTGAAGTCGCGAAGGGACGTCGCGGCCTCCACATCGATGGCCTTTTCGGGTTCATCATCCTCCCCTTCCTCGGCCTCCTGGGTCTCCTCCTTCACGTCTTCATCCTTCCTAGGCTTACTCAACTCCCAAACATACACACACACACACACACACTCTGTCTCTCTCTTCTCTCTCTTTCGCTGTCTCTGAGTTGGAACAAGACTCGAAGCAGGCTTCCTGCCCAGGTAGCTCTCATCACATGCCCGGTTTGGCAAAATGACCACTCCCACAAAGCTGTTCGGATGATGGGCAGCGGCATTCTGTAGTGACTGCACGAGAAAAGTCTGCTTCGCGGAGCTCACCACTCCCTGCGCCACCAAATTGGCAACGTAGACGATCATCTCCGAGGATGCCGAACGCACCCCACCCTGGAGGCCTGCCAAAGCCTCTGCCAACCATGGTTTCACAAGTGGCTCCATTGGCGGGCTTTCGAAATCACGTTCACAGCCTTGCCGCTTCTTCGGCGTCAAGTTGAACACCGGGAAAGCATCATCACCAAATCGCCGCACGTGTGTCCAGGCCGACTTGTGCAGAGACTGAGGGTCAGTCATCTAACATTAGGACCAGCTACAAAACCAAGACATCACATTGACTGGTTCGCAAAACAGCTCGGGACTGGTTCGCAAAAACTGCTCGGGACTGGTTCGCAAAACAGCTCGGGACTGGTCCGCAAAACAGCTCGGGACCGGTTTGCAAAACAGCTTGGGACTGGTTCCCAAAACAGCTTGGAACTGGTTCGCAAAACAGCTTGGGACTGGTTCGCAAAACAGCTTGGAACTGTCTCGCAAAACAGCTTGGAACTGGTGTACAGGATCAGCTTGGGACTGGTTGGCCAAAGAGGGCCAGCTTCGGACTGTTTCAAGGGAGTCAAGAACCTTTAATCTCCGGCCTCCAACATTGAAACTGCAGCCTGGCGCTTCCTTTCCGAGTCACCGGATGTTCTCAGAAGTTCCCTTGGCTGCTACAACGAAAGTTTCTCGGGCACACACGCACACACACACACACACATCACACATCATGCAAACTCATATAGAAAAGGTGCGCTCGAAAGAAGCTCTGGTCTTGCTGCAGCTGGCTCAGGAACAAGTCAAAGGCTGACTTCTCTGCCACACGCAAAGCATTCTGAACAGTTGCCTGCCCTTTCTCCATGAACTGATGTTGCATGTTTCCCCGAGCTTCCAAGAAGAATCCCATCTTCTCCGGGTTCCACGCTGGATCCCGAACTCTCAGAGCTCCACGAAGTTCCATATCCAGGGTCCTCAGTTGCAAAGGCGACTTGTAACTTCTTGTCAACTGTGACGCCCACACAAAGCATCGACCATGACTCGTCACATTTGCCACATGCACAATTGCCCGCTCGCACACACAGACACACATGCAGAGCTCTTTCATTTCGCATTCTGGTAAGCAGCAGCATCTGGAGTCGAAGCATGCTAATTTGACGAGACTGATAGGTGTGGGAAATACTACATGTAATCTCAGACCCACAACTATGGTCGCAAGGAGTATGACGACTTCAATCTGCTGGAATCACGCAATACTGCTAGAAACCGACCACCATCTGGAAGGATACATTCTAAATGACAAACTACATATTATCCCAGTGCCTTGCAGACATAGAGCGAATTTCTTTTATCTTAGTCAATTACAGAAATTCAATGTATTTTCCGGCTCCGGGATCTGGTTCCTAGAAATACATTGAATTCTGGATTTCAATGTATTTGTCTCTTTTGCGGGCACCACCAATGTATTTTGCTGGTCCTGGATCTACATCCTAGAAATACATTGAATGGTTTTTGCTTATCAATTTATACATTGAATCCTGGATTTCAATGTATTTTCTGGCTTTGGCTTGAGGGCCTCCAAAATACATTGAATTTCTCCCTAGTTGGTGGTTGTAGCATAATCAGTGTATATCAAAACCAAGGGATCGGGCTCCGAGAATACATTGAATTTCCCCCACTCTGGCTGCCTGACGAATGCATCGAATTTACAACGGCTCAGAACATTCATTCATAAGCCCGACAAACAGTTTGTGTCATGGCATCTCAGCACCGACGGTCCTCTAGTGACATTCGAGAAATCTCGTGGCTTTGAACGACAACCTGGAGCCGCCTGCCCAATCTGCGGGCTGATGCCCAGACCTGAATGGGAACACAAAGCTATTTCACTGATTGGAACTTCAAGAGTTTTTACAACACAGAGGGACACCACTCGAAGTTATAAACTCAAGCAGCGGCACTGACTTGCTCAAGCTCTCCGCAAGACGGTAGATCTGTGGAATGCTGTATATCCCAAGCTGGACGAAATCAATAGCAGTTTCACAGTCGAAGTAACCTTTCGGAAATTTCTCTTCTGGCGTTCTCGGCCTTCGCTTTCTCCCACCGTCGTTCGATCCTCGTGCCCCTTCTGCCATGATGGTGGCCAGGATGCAAGTCTACGACCGTACTACCAAAGGCACTTAAGCCAGGACAGCTAAGAAGCGCAAGTCAGTCCACCCCTCAAATGAGATCAAGCCGCGAGGCTGGGCCTACAAGCGATAATCAAGCCCAGGCTCCCCATCTCCCAGGCATCCAGCAGCTTCTGGCTGCCACTGCCCAAGGTTCGCTGCATCATCGGAGTCAGCCACTCCCACAAACAGCACATCTCCATCAGCTCTTTCAGCTGATCATTGCCCAGCTGCGCTGATTTCTGCCAAGGGATTCAGTTGCACTATGTGTGATGTTAAAAGCAGTCCTAAGGCAGAGGACAAACCAGTGCTTCACAAAAACCCAGCCTGCGTGCGCACACTCGTGTCAGGGGGGGCCTTGCTTCTGTGGGCCGCAGTCACCCGCTTCACCCAAGTGATCGTGGCAGTCTCGGTGACCTCCTTGTGGCGGGCTGTCAGGGTTGGGTAGGGTTAGGGTCGGCGTTGACTTTGGGGATGGATGGGGGGTAGGGGTTGAGGGGGAGGACTGGAAGTGGCTTGCTGGGGCGCATCGCGCCGGAACAAGATTACGACACAGATCGCTGTTGCACGGGGAAGGATATGTATGGTCTTTCAAGCAGACCCGTCTCAATGAGTGCGCAACCAAGCAGCCTTAATTCCAGACGTTCAATAGGGAATCCCGTAACTCATGGAAACCAACCTCGAAAGTACCCATTGAAGGAACCTTAATCTCAACCGCCGATCTACACACACATCTACAAGCGCGCACAGACAAGCATAGCACGAACAACCATAATCAAAGCTCACCTATCATTTGGCTGCAATTGAGAAACCAGGATCTCTGGCCATCTCCCCTTGTCAGTCTTCGCGAGGTTGGTCCCAGGGACGTAGAAATCGCCAGCAAGGTTGTCCAACGTCAGAGCTGATAGGGAAGAGCGACAAAATGTTACAATGCACAAGTTTCTTGCTGAGTCGGAGTGCCAAAGCAAATCCCCAGCCTGCATTGAAGTGCCGGTAGTCGCTGTACATGGTCATCAAACTTTCTTTGAAGACCAAGGGGCATCGGACAACGTTGTAGATGATCTTCACAGTCTCCTGCTTGATCTTCTGCCCCTGTCAAACATTCGATATCATGCCCAAACAAACCAGGACGGAGACATATGAGGGTATGGCACCGCTTAGTCGACGAATCCTGAATGTATACTTAATATCACATCACACTTCGGGCTGAATGAGAACTCTTCTTTCCTTCCGTTGGATCACCCAGATTCCGAGCAGAGCTTATAAGATGTAGACGGATCCCTGCCCTGGCCTTCCCGACAACCTTATTGTAATCCTGGACGCAGAGGTTGAGAAGGTCACGAGTCGATTTGGCTCCGAGGGACCTCTTCTTCAAACGAATCGCCTCGCTGAACACACTGACCAACTCCATCGGACTCGCCTGCTGTTTCTCTCCCGTCCGCTGGGTGAGCGCAAGAGCATCGTACAAGTACTCTTCCTCGCGATCGTGCCTCTTGAAGTTGCCCTTAAGATACTTCAGCGAGGCCACACACGTTGCCATGCTCTCGTCCCCGGCCAAGTCCTCCGGTGTCACCTCCTCACATGCGAACTGAAACTAAAGTCACACATGCACGCACAGCAAAAAAATAAAAGCAGCCACTGAAGTTCTAATATGTGCAACCAAGCAGTCCAGCTTGTGCATCAGCGCAAAGATCGCCTGGACACACAGGCTTTTCGTAAAGCCATCGACCAGTTTCACACTGAAAATCTCGATGCCGTCCACGAAGGGCATGGTCCCTCAATGGCGAAATGTAAAATCTTGCAAACACAAACTAACTCTTCACGGAACGTCGCACACTAACTGCTGTCCAAATATCCTTTCTCCGCAAGAAACCTCACGTCCAGAGGCTCCCTCGAAGCTTCGAAGCCAGCGGTGAGGATCGAAACAAAGTGAACACGTAGTGTGCACATGTCCGGGTACTTGCAGCTCTGGCCTCACAAGCAAGAAGCAGTTTTCGCAGACATTCCACAACACACTGTCAATCGAACAGCAAGTGTGAACATGTCTAGACTGGGTGGTCCGAAAATGAAGACAAGCAGCCATACTTACACTGGCGCGAGTAATCGATCATCCAGGGATTCAGCCAAAAGTCCGTCTTGGAGTCTGTAGGAACGTGGTTGATCGCCCGGTGGGACTGCACATGCTTGGCCACATCCGGAAGGCCCACATAATGCAGCATGACCTCGGATGCCCGCCCAGAGTCGATACACATCATGTCACGGCACCTTACACCAACCCTCCGTCAGCCCACCTTGGCAAATTCAGTTTGGCCCTCCTGCGAGTGCGGGAACCAACGCGCCATCATGTCACCAATGTGGGCCTCTTTGGCGGCCTCATCAGGACCAAAGTCGGGGGGGAAACTGCTAGGAAGCATGCTAGCCGACAGTGTGAAATCACATTGTGTTATTATGTCACACGAAGCACAACCAGACCTCCAAGAAAGCAAGCTCGATCTTGTCCTTGATCGTATATGCCATGGCCGGGGACGGCCCGGGCACTGCTGCAGCATCTGCTTGCGAAGCCGGAGCACTAGCATCGGGATGACCAGCCTTGGCATCCCATTCTGTCTTCACCTCCACAGCAGCCATTGACGACTGCAGTCGTCCTTTCAGGACCCACTGGCAAACTGCTGAGCTGAGCCACAGCTCGTCAACTGTTGCATGATGGATGCTGTTCTATGCCACGTGCACACTCAGGCGGCAACATGAGAAGCACACGACAACGGCATCTCAGAGGCACATTTACGACACCACACGCCCAGAAGTCCTGTCTGTCCTACACACGGTGAAACTGAACCCGCAAGTTGTGCACATCATTCTCTAGCGGATTGGGAAGGTTGATTCGGGGCACACCCCTAGCCTGCACATTTTGGGGATTCAAGAACGAAAGCCCAGGAAGTCGTTCCTGGTGCATGGCAACTTCTCCGGCCAGTTGCCGGAGATAAACAATCCCTCGGGGGTACTGTCGGGGATAACGCTTCTCCAACCATTCTGCCAGATCAGAGAACTCATCTATCTTCGGCTGCTCCAAGCCACGTGGAAGGCCTCGGCTCAAGCACATTCAATGCCTCACGGGAAAAAGACGACTCACTTGCAAACACCCAGGCCGCAAACTGCACGACCAGGTGCAACACAAACAAACCGACGAACCTGCAGTCATGCAGCTGGCACAGGCACCTGTAGATAGTCGTCTCCAAGCAGCCACGACTTGCGGCAGCGCCGCTCCCGGAAAGACTACCAAAGCCTTTTGACTGACATCCATGTCACTGATGTATCGCTTCACATAGCAGAAGACATCCGCGTCGTTCTTGGGATATCTTCGAGGTAGGTTCTCTTTGACATCACGAAGCAAAGCCTGAGGCAAACCTTGGTTTCTTCGCATAGCACACGGAAGCAGGAAACCCTAGACAATTAATACCGGGTCTCACGCACAACCTTTACAGCTCTCAGATTTGGCCCAAGTGTCTTTCTCTCCGCACAAAAGTGAACGAGTGAGGAATCACTTTGTTGCTGTCATCATCATGTTTCCTTTTCCGAAATATGTTGTAAATCTTTGCAGAGTCAGGGAGTTCGTTGCGGAAAGCGCGGATGTTCGTAACATGCTCAACATGAATGTCTTCGGGCCGGTCTTCAAACAGACGCTGCAGCTTCTTCTTCAGGAATTTCACCACATCCTCAGGGCATTGCCTGAGATGGCACCCCATCCACACAAGAAGGCTCCTACACCTTCGTTCCAAATACCTACTATTGCTGCCGGCAAACATATCTACACCAGCATGACTGATCATCGACGTCAGCAAGCCAAAGAACGCATCTTAGTTGCCACAGACAGGGCATGGCATACAAGATGAAGGTTCGATGTGACATGCCACTTTTGTGTTAGACATGGCATGCATGGCCTAGCATGATCCAACTGGGCTCCTTACCCACATCCTCGTGCGTATGCCCGACGGGTAGGTGCTTCAAGCTGCATGATGTAAAAATAGAGGCGGCAGTCATGGCTGAAAACACCCTGCTGACACAGGTGTTGCGCAATTCACGAGATGTGTTGTCTCCAAATAGGATGCAGTGCGCCGGAAAAGGCTGGCCAGTCTGCTGTGACTTGGTCCACTCTCTCTGAACAGCTCTCGTCCAAATCTCCATGGCCCAGTCGGCACCGGTGGTTTGGTTCTCATCAGTTATGAAGATGTTCACGGATCGCCCGTGCAGGATAACAGCATACACATCAAGCGACGGGCGCACCCTCTTGTCCGCCCCTTTTGGCGTTCTCAGATTGTGCCAGCGAGGTAGGGCGTACTTTGCACGGTCCATGCCATCCACGATTCCCAGCAAAATGTCTCGGTGTGTGAGTACCTTTATGGCATGGAAAGTTCAGCTTCAGGTCCTAATGTGTTTGCTTGTTAAAGACTCATAGAAACCCATTCTGTTGATTTTGCTGACAAGCAGCTCTTGCTCGAAGGCTTGCATATACTTTGCGGTCTGCAAACATGCCAGCCAAATGCCGATGATACTCATCACAGAACTTGGCATGTTCCACGAAGTCTCGGGAGTGTGCAATGGCAGCTTTCAGTCGATGGCATATTGCACATTGCGTGTGTTGTGTTTTGTTCCTGAACCGCAGGATGCGCTCATAGCCTGATGTTTTGAATGCCCTGTAAAATGTTTTGATCGATGCCACTTTGACACCAGCCGACATACAGGACGACATGTATAAATGATACAGATCCGAACGCTTGCCTGGCGGAAGATATTTTTTCGGAAGATGTTTGGGAGGCAATATTCCTTGCAACTCGTCCTGCAATGCCACATCCAGCATGCATCTGAGAATGTCAGCTTGGTACTTATCTGTGGACAGCATGTCGCCAGTCAGCCCCTCTTTGATTTTCAGCCTGCTGAGACTGTTGAATGAAAATCACAGCTTGCACAAGGCTGCCACACAGTACTCTAAGCTTAGGTCTTTATGCACACACTTCCAGCCAAGGACGAGTAGCTCGTGTGGCAAGGGCTCGGCTATGCCCCAGTAAAGTTTTTCGATGAAGGCGACACAGGATGCGTACATTGGACTCCACGAGGTTGGCTGGCCTTAGCATAATAAGTCTTAGCATGTAAACTGGACGTCTTCATGCGAGAGCAGGGAGCAGCAAGGCATCCAAACCCGACTGTACATCAATGACCATTAGCGGCCCAAAACTAAAACCGACCAGGCACGAAACTTCCTCATATCCTGTCCCCGAAATGCAGAGCGGCATCGAACAAGTCGGCTTGCCGAAATACCCAGGATCTTGACGAATGCAGCTCTGCAGACTTTGTGGCCTGGCCATTACAGACAATCACAGCACAAAGGCAAACGGCTGCACACAGGCTTCACTGCTTGACAACCACCCCACCTTCAAGGTACCAAGCCACTTTTCTGACGGACTTTGATGATGCACTCGCAGAGCTACCATCACTGCCACTGCCACTGAAGCTCTCATCTTCCTCAGATTCATCCGGAGGTGTCCAAATTGGATGTTGAAGGCTCCAAAGCAGCGAGTCCTGCCCAGACTTCGTCAGCGACCAGAACGCAGACACCAAGGCCATGATCGATCTGAACCCAAGCCTGCGCTTGCACTGCCGGCGGCAGCACCGAGACTGCAAAGCCCTCCGAACACGCTTCTCCGACTTACCATTGCACTGGTAAGCATCCTCGGAGCCAGAGTCTTCCTCGCCGAACAAGATCTGGTTCATGGAAAAACTTGCAATCCTTGGCTCGCTGGACTCTGACCCGCCATCGCTGGATTCTGAGCGTGACCCACCATTGGAGTAGGAAGAGCCGGATTCTCCATCATAGGACGAGGAGCTGGATTCGTAATCTGAACCAGAAGCAGCAGAACCGGATTCGTCCGACTCAGAAGTCGAGTTTCCTGGTCTCTTTCGCTTCACCATGATGTCTCGCAGCAACCCCTGGCTTTCCAGGTGATGTCTCGCAGCAACCCCTGGCTTACGAGGTGATGTCTCGCAGCAACCCGTGGCTTTCAAGGTGATGTCTCGTAGCAAACCCCGGCTTTCGAGGTGATGTCTCGTAGCAGTAGCAGTCACCGGCTTTCACAGTGATGTCTCGTAGCAATATCTCGCCATTGTGTCACACACAGAGCACGCGGGAGTAGCAATCCTAAACTTCGGGTACACATAGACATCCTACTACAGTACACAGAAACTCAAGGTACTGTAACTGTACTGTTAAGTTTATGTAAACAACTTCACTGAATCTGAAGTGATGACTCAGTCTGAAGGGAACCATAGCTGGACTTTGACATGGAAGAATTGACTCAGTCGGAAGGAAACATAGCTGGACTTTGACACGCTGCATCACAGATCGTCGTGCTCTTGAGAGCACTCTCGAACAAGAAGCTGACACCGGCGGTTCAACTGA